GTAGCCGGCAGGCTCTTGCTGGCTGCAGGCTGGTGCACGCTCCTCGGCACGCGCTGGTGCATCCTCATAGCGCACGATGCAGCGTGATTAATGCTCGTCACCCACCGTTTGGGTTTGGTTTTGTTTTTTTTTTTTTCTTTCATCCCCCCTCCTCCTTGGAAAGGAAGATGTGGAATTGTGCCTTTTGGCTGTGGTTTTCATTTCAGGGAGCAAGAGGGTGGGAAGGCATTTGGGGGGGCTGTTTGCTTTTTAATACTTGTTCCGAGGTGGCAATGGGAGCTGCCCTCAGCCACGCGCCCTGCGGGAGCAGCGGGGCTTGTCCTTAGCCGAGGTCGTGTCCTGGGCTTGGCCGAGCCTCTGAGAAGGGCCGTGCTGGAAATGGAGCTCAATTCACCCTCCGCAGCGCTCGCAAGTTTAAGGGAGCAAGAACGCCCATCACCACCTGCCTCCCAGAGCTGCCAGTTGCTTTCTTTAATATCTCCCAATTAATCTCGGGTGTCTCATGCTAGCAACGGGAATTTGTGTTTGGGTGGTTTTTCTTTACGATAGGTTTAGTTTCCTCATTGTTGGAATACCTTTTTAGAGCCTTAAAAATAAATAAATGGGTTTGCTTCCCCGTAAGCTAAAAGCAAAAACTGCGTGGCCAGCTCCCCCCTTTCTCTCTAACTGGAGGGGGCAGCTGTTTACCTGCGGCCTCAAACTTATTTATGGCCCCATCGCTGCCAGCTATCAGGTGACCACAGCTCCCTTTTTAGCGCGAAGCGAGCAGTGCTCCGGTAACCCGACGAGGTCTCTCACCTGCCGCCGTTTTCCAATTTACTCAAAAGAATTTCCTAGTTGACTCCCCCCTTTTTTTTTTTTAATTGTAGATTAATTGTAGATCTGTTTTTAATAAAATGATCTCTCAAGGTCCCTTCCAACCCAAAGCATTCTATGATTCTATGAAACTTCTTACAGTATGTGTTTCTGGTGGACTTTTGAACTTCCTGGTGTACTCAGCCTTTGCTCAGGAGATGTGTTTGTGGTTGGCTATGAGTTGTGCTTAAATGGGTTAACCCTTTGGAGCTGGTGTTTTTGGGAAACTCTTCGTTACCATTTCCATGTGTAGCTGATGCTCAGGCACAGAAATGAGTTTTAGCAAGCACAGGCTTTACCTGAACTAGTTGCTTGTTTCAAGGTTTAACTTTTCTATCCTCAGATAAAACTACGGATCAGATTTGGTCTGTAAAGCGTGACTGGAAACATGAGATCAGTGAAGAACTCTGAAAATTGTAAACTGCAGCGCTGGGGATACAGCTCAGCTTCCCAGAGGCAGCCAGGGAAAGCTCCTGGCTGTTGCGATAGCTCAGTGCCTCCCTTATGCTGGCAATATCTGCAGGATTCGTGGCCTTTTGATGAACGGGCCTCTCAGTAGCAGATTTCTCCTTTGACATGGATCAACCCACGGAAGCTGCATGGTAGAGTTATCCCCTTAAGGTTAGCACAGCAGGAACACCTGGTGAGGTATTAACTTCCCTGTTTGCTTACCAGAAACTTAGCCATTTGATTGTTCTTGATGTACTTATACAGCTTCTGCAGCTGCTTTGCATCCATCTCTGAGAAGAGGGAGACGAACTGCCAGAACATCCTTGGGAAAAGAGAGACACGTGGATCGTGCGTGAGTACAAACTTCATCATCTTCCTCATTCTGCTCCCTAGTTCTGTTGTGGTGAGTGTAACCACAGACAAATCCTTTGCACAGCTTTTTCTGCCCCCCCTCCTTTTTTTTTCTCCCCAAAGCTTATAAACTTTTAAAGAATTATTCTTCCCCAAGCATGGGAAGGATTATCTGTTAACTCAGGTGGCCACGTAGGAGCCCCTTTACTCGCAAAGGGATGTTGTTGATGGACAGCAGATCAAAATTGGCTGTGCGCTGGGGCAGCACTAAGTGCCACGTGGCCTCTGCTAAAATTACCTGCAAAATCTGTGAGCGTTCAGCAGTCAGAGCAAGCCTGTTTACGCCCTATCTCATTGCCCATGCTTGGAAATGCAGGGCCAAAGTAGGCGTCTAAATGCCCGCGGGGAGCAGGCGGGGCAGGATCCCATCTCGCTGGGAGCATCGCCAGCGTGCTACCAGCGGTGCCAGGTAAGAGGAAACCCTTACTTCTGCCAGTGCTTGACTTCTGAGGCTCTGCAGTACCGCTGGAGAAACAGATCGATGCGGTCCCCGATTACGGTCAAACTTTCCTTCGTGTACTTCAATTTTTTCTCTGTGGGGAGATGCTGGGGCAAATGCAGTTTCCTAAGTGACTTCTTAAAGGGTCTCAAAAGTTCCTTGCACTGTAAAGAAAAAGCGTTGGCCAAGGTGTTCAGCACTTTAAATCCAGGTCTCAGGCATCCCTTTTCACTAAATAAACTGGTTAAAAAGCTGGCTGGGAAAGCACTGAGGGAGCGTTGTGTTTTGGGGAGTGTCTGTGTGTGGACATGGGGGACCTGACGGGGTCTTCAGCGGGACCCCTGTCAGGCGCCC